ACGAGGTGCTTGTGTCGTTGGGATACCTCTGAAAGCCAAAGCCACCAAAAGACACCAAAAGCCACGAAGACTCGCACAAAATACATAAATAAAGAGGCACAGCCAGAAAGGCAGCCCGGAGAAATGCAAACACATCCGGGAAAGGAGATGCTCGGGTTTGAGGCACAGTTTCTCTGATACCAAGTGAACCCCCTTTAAAGCAACAAAGTATGCATGAGGATGGTCCACATTTGCATCACAGAGAAGAACAACTTCAAAGCTATCAGAATGTTTGATTATATATATATGACTCACTTTGGTTTTCTTATTCCTTCTTACACCTGGAGTCTCCATGACCCTTTCAGAAAGGGGTCGTGGACCTCATTTAAGGGTCATGGAGTCATGGAGTCTCCAGGCAGGTAGATCTGTGAATCTCAGGTGCTCACTTCCAACTGCCCCACCTGCTTCTCTGCAGTTGTCCAGGAGTTGAGATCGGCGAGGGAGAGAGGGGGGGGTGGGCGCGCTTGCAAGGATTCACCAACATCCAACATAGCCATTTGGCACATGAATGTGTGTGTGTGTGTGGTTGAAGGAACACCACCATTGTAATCCACTATAGGGGTACCCATATTTTGACGCATACAACGAAGGGTAACCAAGCCCTTTGCATGGCGTGACTGTTATATGTGCTATGGTCAAACGACCACTGTACTGAGATGGTCATCAACCTCTTGATGGCGGTTTTAGAGATTCAATGTCAAGAAGGATGACCATGTCATTCAGAAGGAGTTTTGACCGACCGCTAGACCAGCACCGCCAGTGCCGGAAAGTGTCAGCTTGTCACAGGTGACTGGACTGGCTTGGGCAGCCCTCTCAGATAAGAAGTGTGACAATTTGCCGCCGTCAGAGTTTTGCGGTGGTAGCCATGCCGTCTTTGAAACACAGGCATGAGTGAGTTCTCAGGCTTCGCCAGATGTTTGGGGTGGCAGGCACTTCCAGTGGATCCCAGTTGCTGGTATAGTAGGTTTCCAGCCATTTTCCATTTGGTTTGTAAAGGGTAGTTTTGTGGGTTACCTACTATACAGGTAAATGGACCCACTGGGACTCTGAAAGCTTCCAGTCAAGGGCGGTTGGCCTGAGGAATTTCTATATCCCTGCCACTACAGCCATGGCAGTCGCAGGCGGTTCAACAAAAGGAATCAAAGAAAGTTCGGCCGTGGCACATAGATTTCGGCTGTGCCCGCTTGGTTTGGGTGACATTGGGAATGAGCTGCAGTGCTCCTTGCGCTTCCTGGAAGAATTCATAGGCTTGAGGCTTAGATTTGACCCTAGATTGAAGCAGAACCTGGTTTGCGCAAAATCTTAAACGGGCCAGCCACGAGCCAACCGGGGCTTTATTCGTCCTGAATTCCCATGAATTGCGGCGAGTGGCAGAGGTTCAAGGCGATTCACAAAAAAGTTCTTTCTTCGGGCTATTCAAGCCCATGATAAGCAACAGGTTGTGGGTCACGTGTTATAGACCCTGAAATTGCAGATTTTCCTGTTGTTTCCCCCTTTCAACCGATCCAAACAAGTGGCCCCAGTTTGTAGGCTTTACTCTTTGTGAATATCTCGGCAAAGAAGTTTCGATTAGTTCTCAGCAACCCACTCTGGAAGTCTGAGACAGCACAACCAACACGGCACGCTCATTTGATCCCCTCACCTTTGGCGGGATGCCGCGCTCATTTGATCCCGACGCGCAGGACTTGAGCGACTGACGGTTTCACCACGGGCTGGTAGAGTTCGCAAGCCGGCGCTGGCCACTTTCAAAGTGGACTTGGATGACCGGTAGCTAAATGAGTAGCACGCCCAGTAAGGGATACAAGGAGGTTCACATGGGGGTTAGTTGGGGTTCAAAGGGGCAAATGCTAACTCTGTGTTGCGGAGGCTAAAGGTGTTGAGACTGAAAATAGCTTGCGGTTGCAGTTCAATCTTTTTGGGTTTGGATCAGTTTAAGTGACACACAGGAAGTCCAGGGACTCTCACAGACCAAGCCACCCAAGGGCCCAAGGGGCGAACTGGGTTACCGGGCACTAAGTTTAGCTTCACCAATCCAAGGACTGGTGGCTTCTGTAATAGCGGATCCAACGAGAGACCCATCCTTTTCTGGTGTCTGGTAGGCCCAATGGATTGAATTTGATTGGAGACGGGGATAAAAATACTGTCAAAAGTGGGTGGACATGAATCGCCAACTGATGCCCACCAAAGGGTTCTCAAGGCAAACTCCGCCCCCTACCTAATCGGTGAGTTGCAGAGGAGTGCCGAGTCCGCCTTGAGGTGTAGTGCAGAGAGCGCCGCAGGTTTGGGTTTGAAGTGCGAGACATCGCTGGGTCTCCAAACCAAACACAATACCATATTTTAGGGTAGACGAACTACGGATTAGCACCAGAAAATGCGATGTTCTGCACCCTTTGTTGCAGGCCAAGATCCGCTTGCAGACGGTTCAGTTCTATCGCGACATTGATGTTTATTGGTTGGAGCACTCTCCTGATAGGACATGAATTCCCACGGAAATGACGTCCACTGAATTGAAGGGTCCCGAACTCAAACTCATAAGGATGCCGACGAACCGTACTTGGAGGAGCCTTCAGGTGACGCGGCACGCTTTCCTGCCTGGATGTCCAAGCAGCCTACAACCATGGGGTATTTCGGGTCAGTCCCTTTACGGGCATGGTTATAACCTACTGACCAAGTAGCTTGGACACCCTAAGTGGCTAGTTGTTTCAAGGCATCTGCTGGAGGTAGGCCGTGTCGCTCTTTGCGCTGAGCCAACTGGATGAATTCGCGTTCCAAATGTGTCACTGACCCGCCGGAATGGCGCGCTAGGGGCCTCAGGCGGGAGTCTTTCTCTCGCGCTCTCTCTCGGCGGCGGCTACGGAAACCACAGCCCACGCTTCCACTTGACGCAGCACGCTGTTGTGACATCTGTGCAGCTGGCAGTGCAGGGCTTCTTGGCTGCTTGGTTGCCTGCGTGGCATTTGGAGCGAGAAGGCCGCAAAATCGATGTTGGAGCGATTTGTCCATCACCCACGCTTGGCACCGCACAGACTTATACAGCCCAGGTCGCAGCAACCGCTTCGGAGCGAAAGGCATGAGGAATGGCAGCACTGACATTCGCATCCGAGCGCTCAGATTCTGGACCAAAGGTGAGGAAATCGGGCACGGCGTCCTGCCACGTTGCTCACGCAGATCGAGAATGCGGTTCCGCCCGGAACACGAACAGAGCCCAGAGTGTGAAAACGCCGGACTCCCATGGAGTCGTCCGACCGAGGCGGTCGGGTCAGAGCGGGGCTTGCCTCCATGAAGCCGGCCTCCCCAGGCCGATCCCCCGAGCCGCCAAAGGAGGATTTTGCTATAGCGCAGGGCGAGGGGCGTTTGCCGGAAGGCTTGCGGGGGGGGAAAAAAAAAGGAAACGCGCGGCCGAAGCGCGAAGCAAGCTGGGGACGGGGGGTGGTGGGGGGGAGGGCACTGTGCCGTGTCCCAGTCTCTGCCAATGAATCTCCCCATCTTAGAAAATCGCCGTATTTGGCTGCATTAAGATACGGACCGCCGAACTATTTTGGCTGTCTTTTCGCTCTCCTTTCAACCAACGTGAAAAGGCACCCTCAACAAACACACCCACACGCTATAGCCATGTGCTTCTTGGGCGGGGTGCATGGCCAGGGCATGTTAAGGCCAGATAAGCGCACAAGCTGGACTTGCGACTCCACTCAAGCAGTTAGTTCAAAGCGATGCGTGATGGCTTTGGAATCCTCAGATCCAGACTTCCCTGCCAGGGAATATACAAGTAAAACCGACGGGATGATGATGGTCCGGCCACAACACATCCTTTTTTAGGTTGGGTTCCACTACATCAACCCTTAGCGGGGGGCTGAATGGATCCCATTGGCAGAATCTGGTTGGCTCGAGGGAACCCTCGAGGTTGAGTCGCCTTCGGATCCAGGGAACCCTCGAGATTGGTCAGCTAGATCGACAGTTGGTTGTAGCCAAGGGACGCGCTAAGACATCCCTGCTCCACCAAACAAGCTTGGACATGAGAAGTCTAAGTGCAGTCCACTTCGCATGCAGATGGGGTTTCCCCTTCTTTTTTTTTCCCTCCCCGTTGCCAAGCTGAAAAGGCTAGCCTCCAGCCACCGCAAGCCCAGAATAATCGTACTCCACGGTCTGAATGCCACAAAGTGGGGAAGTAAGCTACCTCAAGTCTCCGTGACCCTGTAAAAATGGGTCAATGACCCCATTGCTTTGGGTAATGACCCCATCTTTTAAGAGTCATGGAGACTCCAGGTAAACCTTTCTCCACCTCAATTTTGGTTCGAGAAACCCAGAGAGAGCCACGTACATCCACCGAAGCACCCAATTCGCGAACCGCCGAAGACGGGATTTTGCACAGTCTAAGAGATGCAAAAGGCCTCGTGTTCATGCTCCCTGGGCGGCCCTCCAATGATTTGGCATGAAGCTCGTGGACAACCCTATACCTGGAGTCTCCTTCTGACCCTTAAAACATGGTTGCTCATTGCCCAAAATAATGGTTGGTCATTGACCCAATGTTTATTTCGGGTCAGAAGGAGACTCCAGGTAGATCCTGACCACAGAAACAACAAAGAGTACATCTCCACACCTAGCGCCACTTTGTCCTGGGCAGATAACTCGCTTTGATGGACCTCATCTGGGGTTTTGCATGGGCCCCCAGGCAGTTGACAGGCAATCCTTGATCCTTTCCTTCTTTCCAATAAGATTGCGGACAATTACATCCCCAAAGCTCACCTCATTCGACGTTTTTTTCCAATAAGATTATGGACAATTAGATGCCCATCTCAAACATTTGAACAGATTTCTTTCCGCCACCCCACAACTCAAAGATTTTGAACAGATCGGATCCCACTAAAAACTCGAATATGTTTCTTCTCTTTCCATTCCATTTGGTTTCTTCAACCGCCACCCCGCCCCATCTTCCAGCCACCCCCCCCCCACGTAGCTGCCAGGTGCCGGGCCCTCAGGGCCACGGCTCGCGGCCAGCGGAGCCGGGACGCCGAGAGACGAGACGAGATGAGATGAGGAGATGAGCACCTCATGGTTGTCGTTGGGAAGCATTTTGTCCATTTTTTGCTTAAAGTGGTTTAGTGGTTGAAATCCACACTTAACTGCTAACATTTATTTTTTTGCTCCCCTTCCAACGTCAACCAAGACCTGGAGTCTCCGGTGAACCGAAAGGAACAGTTTTTGGTTGGTGACCCACCACAAAACAGGTTGCGACCCGAAATGCTTGACCCAAAATGAAAGGAGTATGAGCCGCGCTGACTTTTGGGGAGCTTTCAGGAAGAACATCCATGAGCCACCACCCGGAGTCCTTCTTACCCTTAAAATATGTTGGTGGGCATGACCATGTTTGAAGGGTCAGAAGGAGACTCCAGGTAGGAATCAGTTATCCAATTTACCACGAGGCGAGCAAACGGGAGGTTCATGCACCAGCCAGCTATATGACTATTGACCGTGCCACAGCTGACGTGTCCAAAGCCGGGTACGTCCTTCCCAGGTGAGACCGCCTAGAGTCTCGAAGCTTCTGACCATTAAAGAATTGGGTCATGAGTCGGGCCCCTGTCTCTACTGCTATTGGGTTGGATCTTTAGACTTTAACTTTTTGGTTGCCCTTCATATTTCCTTGTGGCCTGCAAAAAGTTAAACTTTTTGCTGGGGGATCTACGGCACCCAAGCTTGTATTTTGGGTCGTCTGACCAACCATTTTTGTGGAAAGGTCCCCCTGGCGGCTCCTTGAAGCAAGGGGCCGCAGGCAGTGGTTCCAACACGTTTGCCCAGCTTCCTCGATGCTGAACCAAATGTCATTGTTTTAGCATGTTTCAAAGGTACCTGGAGTCTCCCCTTCTGACCCGAAATAAAAATGGGTCAATGACCGACCCGGGGAGGGTAAGAACCAACCATTTTTGATTCGGGACAGAAGGAGACTCCAGGTAAACTAAGCCTGAGTTGAAGGATCAATTGTTGTGTATCCCAGAGTTGGGCCCCGTATGGATACCTCCAGTAAGCCCCCCTTGTGGGAGGGTACCCTCAAAAGCAAACACAGCTTTGTGCTGTTTGACGCTGAGTACCCTTTTGGGATTGGCGAAAAGGGAAGCAAAAATAATCACCTTGATTGGTTGGGCTCCTTATTTGGACACCGATAGTATAGGGTCAATCAATTGCTTCTGGTTATTGGCAGGAGCGAACGCTGATCCAGATCGAGGGAGGGAAAATGATCCACACCAGCGAACATTGGGTGACTGGTGGTGTTCCTTTCGATATGCTTTCACTCCAAATTGGAAGGGTAGGTTGCCTCTGTGTGTTTCTTTTGCAGGTGTTAAATAGATGGCTGGTAACATTCGTAAAATTGACACTTTGCCCATTCCTTGTAAGACGGTGACCGGCTGACATGATTTGATGTTGCATTCAATTCAAAGGTTGGCTAGCTACGAAGCGAAACCTGAATGACCAGTTTTTTCTTTTTTGGCCAGGGCTTCGGCCAACTATGGGTGTTCCCTAAAGTAGGTCCCCCTTTTTTATGCCTGGGGTTTACATGGGTTTACTTTCTGGTGTAGTACCATATGACGTCACCTATGGGTGTTCCCCCCAAAAAGTAGGCCCCTTGTTGTGGATGAGTTTACTTTATGGTGTATATCTCTACTGCTATTGGGTTGGATCTGTAGACTTTCTCTTTTTGGATTCCCCTCATATTTCCCTTTAACCATCAAAAGGTTAAACTTTGTGCTGGGATCTACAGCACCCAAGATAAAAACCATCCAAACCGGTCTACAGTACCCAAGATAAACCCATCCAACCCGGGCGCAAAACCACCGGATGGCGCGCCGCGCGCGCGAGACACCGCCGGAGGCCCATGGCGGACCGAGACCGAACCCAGCGCCTGCCGCGGCCCTCGCGGTCCAAGCTGGAGGATCCACGCGGGCGTTTTTTTTTTTTTTTACTGTTCTTGGCATTTTTTGTTTGGGGGGGGGGTTCTGTTCATTTTTACTTGGCTCTGCCAAAAAAGTTTTTCGCCAGCCCATACCAAGAGTAGAGCTGTTTTCGAGTGGGCCGGCGAGTAGGCCACAAGCCCAAGGCTCACATTGCCCAGAGTCTCCTTCTGACCCGAAGAAATGGTTGGTCATTTCCCCAAATGATGGTTGGTCATGGAGACTCCACCACCTCAACCTTAATATGGGTGTGGGTCAAAATTAGACCACCAGCAGACCGCAGGTTTTGGTCCATGTTGCCACTTACCAGGGTCATTACCCAAAATAATGGGGTCATTGACACATTTTTTAAAGCGTCATGGAGACTCCAGGTACAAACCACCTTTGCCTCAACCTTAAGATGAGAATCGTGCAAGAACGCATGAAGATGGTTTAGCTATGGCGATTGGGTAGCTTGGCATTTGAGAGGCAGAGGAAACTTGCGATCGCTGCGGTAGGCAGGGATTGAGTTCAAGTCTTGGTGGCTCCCAGCCATTTGGTTCCTTAGGTTTTTAGCTTTTTAGTGTTTAGTGAGGGTTTCCATTAAACCCATTAAACGTTAAACTTTAGCGGGGAATCTGAGGACAGCCCAGGAACTTACCCAGGGAAATTGAACCAGGAATTGGGATAGGCTGGAAGGAATTGAACCAGGGAATGAACCTTTATTCCGGTATCCTTAAAGGAAACCACAATTGATCCTGTTGTTGGGGTCACTCCCTCATTCCCTAGTGAGCACCAGCAAGAAAATGAACCGGGTGGGATCAAGCTGCTCTTGTGAGGAGATAGGAGTATCCAGGAGGTAAACCACAATATACTTCCCCAGAACTAGTTCCCCCTTGTACTTTTTTGCCGTTTTGGGGTCCCCTTTGTTTGCCACTAACCAGGCAAAAAATATATTTGTTTGCTGGGGTATTCCAGCCTAGTCAAAGGGTTTTTTGTTACAGGAACAAATTACAGGAAATGGCCCCATTTGCAGCCAAAACAAGCCCCGATTTCCGGTAGAAGTTCCTGTAACCCAACCCTTTGAACAAGGGGTTTATCCAACCACTGCGATGTAAGTTGGAATCCCCTCACAAAAGTGGTGGGTTGGTCTTTGGGAGGCGTTTGTTGTATCACAGAAGTCGTCATGGACCACAGCCCTGGAGAAGAAGATGTCTTGTTTGCCATTGGTATAGAGCTTTTACCCAGGCACGCCTGGTTGGTTGGTGGGTGGGCGGGTTGGGTGAGTGTCGTTTTGTCTTGTTTTGTTCATTAAATTTCTTGGTTGCGTTCTGCTTGTGTTGCTTTTTATGTTTCGCGTTCCTTTCCTGCAGTTGTTGTTTTTCTTTATTCCTTGCTTTGCTTTGCTTTGCTTTGCTTTGTTTTGCTTTGCTTTGCTTTGCTTTGCTTGCTCAGTTGCTTCCTGTTTTCTTCCTCCTTCTCCCCCTCCCTCCTCCCTCCCTCCCTCCCTCCCTGCCTGCCTGCCTGCCTGCCTGCCTGCCCTTCTCCCTCCCTCCCTCCCTCCCTCCCTCCCTCCCTCCCTCCCTCCCTTTCTGTTGCGTCCTCTCTTCCTCGCTTCTTTCCTTAATCCTGCTCTACATTCTTTCTGTTTCCATATTGGACTGGGCGACTTTGGAAGTTGTTCAGGAAGCATACTTGCTATTGAATACTGGGACCTTGGGCATGGGGAAAGGGGAATAAGGAGTTTCTGATTACTTATCCCTCAAAGCCAGCAGTTGTAGCTCTCCGAAAACCAGTTTTCAAGCTTTCAAACGATAACTTCTAGTCTTTGTGTGGTGGCTGGAGCCAAGGTAACACTCCAAGCTGTCAAACTTCAGGGATGTGAATCGGTATTCCTGGGTATGCATGGTATGCCTGGCGGCGATGCGGCTTTTGGAATCGTTGGCCCGGTTTGCTGGTTACGTGCCTGCCTCCCTTTTTTGGTGTGTTCGGGATCTGGTAAAATTGGTCGACCCTGAAAGGGGTTTCTTGTTTCTCAGGGCCACTGGGCAAACTGAAGAAAAGAAAGAACGCCTTTTGTGAAGATTCTCTGACATTATTGTTGTGAATCAAGACAATTTACTCTTGGTTGAAATTGATGGCACAATCTCCCATGAGGGTTTCGTCCAGTCAAATAACCACATAACTTATTTGCGGATTTGAAGAATCTGTACTTGACGAATCCCCTTAAAACCAACCCCAAAACCAAACTTGTGGGGTACCAAGCAACCCTCTGGGAACGGGACTGGACCACTTCAGTCCGCCCAAACACTCGCAGGAGTCGGCCGGGCGCAGAGAGTCGCTTTGGCGGTGAGGAATTCGCGCAGTGGTGGGTTGAAGCTGTCCGAAGCTGGAGTTCTCTCTTGATATTGGTGCGTGCTTGGAGTCTCCTTCTGACCCTTAACAAAATGGTTGGTCATGACCCAAAATAATGGGGTCATTGACCCAGTTTTAAAGGGTCATGGAGACTCCAGGTGCTTTTGTCGAGGGTACCCTTTTTTAAAAGGCAAGACCAGGGGAAGTTTGCGTGTATCTTTTTGCGTGTGCGGCTATTGTAACGCATATCCACAATGATTCAAGACCAACTTCAAAAAGACGAGATGTTTCCAGTAAAGTTCAACAGCTGAAGTTGAGGAGTGAATTGGTCTTGCGACGGCTGGCTTTCCGTTGCCAGAGGCCCCCTGGGCTTGAGGCAAGGCCCCTACATGCGTCGGCGCGTTCCAGCGGAGGTCCACCTTGGTTTCTGGAAAATGCCGAGTGCCACTGGTGAAGTCAGTTGGCATATGAACCTGGGTGATCATGAGTGTTTCTCGAAACTAGGGGCAAACCAGGAGGTTAGAGGCAACTCCAACTGTTGTCTAGTAAGAGGAAAGAGGGCTGCCCAAGTGAACCAGTCAATGACGTCGTCTACCGAATATCAGGTCTCGTATAATGATCAGGAACATGCATGTTGCTCAGAGTTTATGACCGTCACCCCTCAGTCGGTCGCAACATACTTGCTATGACAAGTCTCAAATGGTGAGTTGTCAAAAAGATGGTCCCCTTGTTGGACCCCTTTTTAAGGGCGGGCCCCCACACATAAGCCATGGCCCAAAATTTCACCCATTTTTGACAACTCAAATACGGAGCTAGGGGTTGACTTGCTTGTCCGGCCATGTTACACGTTTGTCTCTTGAAGCAGGCCTCCGTTCTACCCTTTCACTCACTTCCCGAGTTTCTGGGAATTATACTTATCGGGAGACCCTTTTAGTGGAAACTAACAAGTTTGGATATTTTTTTTGTTTCGCAATCCACTCGATCGGAAGTGAGATCAGGCATCAGGCATACCTCTGGGTTGCTCACCCACGTGGCAAGGGCCCAACATGTCACTCATTTGTGTCATTCTGTGGCTGGCTTCTCAATTTTTTTCGGGTTCCCCTTTGGTGGATCTCAAGGGAAACCAAGAGGAAACGGGCCCCTGCCATTTTGGGTGTCCCTAGTTGAAGTCACATGTAGGAGTTTCTCCAACTGGACCCAGTTGTGGTTGGTATGTACAGGGAAAGCAACAAGGAATCCATCTGTTTTAGGGAAGCCTTGTTTCGAGAAACGCCCATGCAGTCCCTCCTAAGCCTTTGTGAGCAACCCTGCTTGAGTTGGCAAATGGTTCGGGCCCAAACCTGGTTGATCTCCCTTGGGGCGAATTCGGGGATCCAATTCGGCTGTGCTTACCAGCGGAATCTTTTGGGGCGACTTTGAAGCCAGCCGAACCTGCACAGGGTTTGAAATAACACCTGCCCAAACCGGGCCTTTTGTCCTCTTGGCTTTCCGTTTGCTTTGTTTGTTTGTTTCCTTTCGCCAACGTCGAATCCCAAAGGTCAACCTTGGGCATGTGAGGCCGCAAGAGGCCTTCAATTCATGGCGGGCTAACCCCATGTTGGGGCATCCAACCTATTTTCGGTTTGGATCGTGTTTTGGATCTGGATTTGAACCAATTGTTCTTGAGGGTTAATAGGAACACAACCATCTAACCTAACCAAGCCACCAAGTAGAGGGGAAATTATTTTAGTGTTTTCTTGCCCCATTTTTCTGGTTTTGGTTCCCACCAATTAGGGGAAAGCTGATATCTGAAATTTCCATGTTGCGAACCCATTCTTCGCCGGCAAAGTCGCCCCCGGGATCAGATTTCCAGAAAGCCGCCAACCGCTCGGCGGTTTGCGACGTCGTCGAAAAGAAGGGGCGGGGCCCAAGCAAGCCGATTCATTCCCTGAGTTGGACTTTTTTTCTTTTGAAGGCCACTTTACCGAGTCTCCTTCTGCCCCCTGAACAAATAGCTGGTTACCCCAAATGGGGGTCGTCGACCCATTTTTATTTCGGGTCATGGAGACAAGCCCCATGCGGGAGTTCCTTGCCTAGGTTTCCCAAAGGCGATCGAATTTCCTTTCTCACCCTTTTTTTTTGGGGGGAGATTCGGTTCCGAACCCTACTGAAATAGACAAAACTGAAAAAAGGAGACGGTACCAACTTGTTCTAACCTCTCTGCTTCACCAGAATTAGCTCCCCTTTTTGCTTTTTTGCTTTTTTGGGGTTCCCTTTGTTTTCCACTAACCGGGCAAAACATATTTTTTTTTGCTGGGGTCCTAATTCCAGCCAAGTCTGCTGGAGGACCTGGTAGGGCTTCAAGAACTTGCAGTTCAAATGTCCTACCCTGCCTAAAACCTCGTGTTGTTCAACGGCTTCTGTGACTCCTGGTAGATGGGAAGTGAGAAATCGGCCGCAGATCTTAAACACCCCAAGATGAAACTCGATCACTTTGAATGGGCCTGCAATTCAACATGGTTCCGTGCTTGAGTAAGGTTGGTTTACTTGCATTGTTTAGGGCATCCGCCGGAGCTTCGCAATAAAATTCGGAGGACCGTACTCATCAGCGGTGGCTGCTCTTTGAGGAATCATCAGTGACTCCTTGCGGCCTTTGTTTGCTGAACATATAAAGCAAGCCCAGCTTTTTCGACCAGAGCGAGCTCACCCGCAGTGTCTTACTTGGGTTGCTCCTTGCAGGTTTAGATCTATTGCGCTTCTCGGCTGGGTCAAGGGCTGCTACTTTGCAAGTGCCAATGTGTTGACTGTAGGTCCGCAGTTTGTTCCGTGCGCTCACAGACCTCACTTCAAGTGTCGTTGGACTGCAGTTTGCTCAACTTGGACAGGCTTTCTACGCGTGGGTTTGAAGCCGACATGTCGATGGTTGGGGCTTGTGGCTTGGGAACTCCCACGTGTGGGTGAGTCAAAGACCATTTTGGGTCCAAACGGTACCTCGTATTTTCGGTTTGGGGTTTGGTTTCCTCGGGGATTCGGGAAGTACAGATTCCTCAGATCCAAGTTTCAAAGTACACATCGAGGAACATGCACGGACTCTGGGGGAATAGCCATGGGCCACCCGCAGCATGGTTCAAGGATGAAGCGCAAGTAGATTCCTTTTGCCCAGGCAGGGCGTTGGCAACGATTCGCCCTTCCAGGGCGATGTGCGAAGTGTGGGATTCACTCCGTGAGCTGCTGGATCCCCGATGACTCCTTTGTTTTCTGCGCGAAAGGACCCACAAAACAGGTTGGTAGCTTGGGCAGAAAGAAAACGGATCGGCTCCATTTGGGGTCCAGGAACTCACTGACTTGGGTCACTGTTCGATTCGGGGCATTTTACTTGGTGGCTCCCGCCATCCGGTTCCTTAGCCTTTTTGCTTTTTGGTGTTTAGTGGTAGTTTCCATTTAAGCCACTAAAAGTGAGTCACTTTTAGCGGGGGATCTGAGCCCAGTTTAGTGGTTCACAAGACAAGTTGAGCCCCAGTTGGGCCTTTGGCCAATCTAAATGGGTCAAAAAATAGGGCCACCAGGATATGGACCGCAGGGTTGACTCCATGTTTCCACTTACCAGAATTCCGTTTGGGTACCGATTTTTGACCCACAGCCAAATGAGGGTACTGGAGGTTCAGTGAAAGTCCAGTTTATGGTCCTAGGGACATGGGGGATAGAGCAAGTTCAGCAGATCCAGGGGGGCTATTGCAGTGGCCTCAAGCTGAGGGGGTCCGATTCATGGAGCAGGTCGGTCCTGGGTGTCCCTTCACCAAGGCTTCCACAGGGTTCCTACGTGCCTCGCATGTGTTTTCGCGTGTTTCCTTGTCGGAATCTGTTGACGAATCCCCTGTTTTCACCAAACCCAAAACTGGAAGGTTATGGGGTACAAAGAATCCCCTCTGGGCTCTTAGGAGTGAAAGCCATGATTTGAGCATGTTTATCCCGAACATCAGGCGTCCAGGGCGTGTTGCTATGATCAGGCCACTTTCTTCTGGCTGAATTGCTGCAATTTTGCCGGACTTGCACCTCGGCTTTTTGCCCTTTTGCTCTATTCATGTTCCCTTCCGACCGACTTGCTCACTTGTGGTCCCAACCAAGTGTGGTCAAGAGTAGGAACTTGGTTGGCTTTCCTTTGGTCCCCCAGCAAGCTTGTCAACTTTCCAATGTTCACCCCGGAAAAATCGCCCCCTGCCTATTAATAGGAGGTGTTGCCTTCAAAAGCGAGACACCCCTACTAAACGGGGACCCGGGCTATTAGTCAACCGAGAGGTTATTCCTCCGGGGTTCCCGTTCAACCCGTCACCTTGCCTCGCGGGGAGCCCGTTCGTTTTTCGTCAGGCCCATGCTGCGTCCATGGGCGGCGTTCGGCTGGCGAGGCTGTCGGAGGCTGAGAGGTGAAGTCTCTTGGTCGCTGCGACCCATCAAATGTCTGGTCTTGTTGTCGAGCTTACGCCTTTTGGAGTGGTTTCAAAGGGAAGCCAAAAGGAAACCAGCCATATCACACACACCTAAATGACCAAACCTGCAAGGGTAGATAAGGCCAGGCCAGCCCAGGTATCCCAACAACAGCAACCCCCTTCCACCCCAGCTCCAAGAGAACCACTCCATGGGCGGAGACCCCGAAGCGGTTTTCTTGGGTTTCCCTATGGCAACCACCCGTGTGTTGTTGGGAGGACCCCCAGCAGCTGGGTTTGTGTCTATGTTTTAAGGGGATTGTGGTTCCAAAAGAGGGAGCCTCAAAAAAGGACATTCCCAAATGTCGACTCTTGCTCGTTTGCTGACTTTATTGTGTCCCGTGAAAAATGCGACTCCCTCTCGACCATAGAAAGCCGGGTCGCAAACATAGAATACGTGCTAGTGCCGCTGAATAGTTTAAAGTGAAGCAACCCATCCTGTCATGTATATTACAGTATATATGTAGATATGTATATATGTATTTCCCAGTGCTTCCAGCTACCACTATAGTAGGTAATCAGGGGTTTCTCCATCCATGGTTCAACCTAGAGGTAAGAAACCCGAGGGGTTACCTATAGTGAAACGCCTGGAAGGACTGGGTAAATACATATATACACATAGAAAAAATGTATAAAGCACTGGTTTCTGTAGGTACCCTAACTTGCTGGTGCTCAAGGAATGAGAAATGGGTAATGCCCCCGTACAAACCATGTGTGGTTTGCTTTAAGGGGAACGCAGGGGAATGCAGGGGAATGCAGGGACCCCCAGGTTCATTCCAACTCATTCCCTACCTAGGCCCCCCAGTAGTGCCTTTACCCTTTTTTGGGGGAGGGTTCCCCTACTAAAATAGACTACAGAAAAAGATCGGGTCCCGTTATTCCAACCTCTCTACTGGAGGACCTAGCTACTTCTCGCCCCAAGCTAAACCCGGCCACTTGGGCCTTTCTCGGCTGAGGCCGGGGCTTCGCGACGATGAAGAAGATCTCGGACCTGCCGTCGCTGAGGAAGAAGGAGACAGGCGGATCCGAATTCGGGAAGCCCAGGTGCTTTCCTCAACTTTCAAGGCTGGTTTGCAGGTGTTTCCCTCAATTTAACAAGTTGGTTGCAGGTGTTTCCCGCAATTTTCAAGTTGTTTGCAGGTGTTTCCTCAATGTTCTTCTTTTGTAGACCTCCAAGAGTGGCGGGTTCGATGGAACCTGCCAGCAAATTTAAACTATTGAAAGAACTTCTGGTGATCCCTGCTGAGAATTGTGTGGTCCATGAGTCCATGGGGTGGTAGTTTCTTTCCACAAACTCAGTTACCCAAAGCAAATCAAAGGGACCTGGCCTTTTGGTTTCTCTGATTTGGGCAATTTTGAGTCAAGGTTCCAAAAGGTGATCAGCTTGGGTCCCGAGACTAACCATGGTCCATGAGTCCATGGGATGGGACGTTTCTCCTTCAACTTTCCCTTTGTTCAAATTCGGTTTCAGGGTTTCCAGCCTCGGTTTGGAACACCCGGTTCAGGTTGTTCACGGCTCTTCTATTTGTTTGGTTCCACTCGTTCGGGAACATGTTGTTGACGGAGTGCCAAGTAGCCCGCAATATCTCGAATATACCCAACAGGAAGCCACCGGGGGATGGGTAGACTCTCTATTGAGCACACAGCTTTGGTGGATTGTACGCCTTGCCCTGCTTGTTTTGTGGGCTCCGCATACTGTACAAGTCATTTTGTTTGCTAGAATCAATATGTTGGATCAAGTTGTTCAGGTGGATGTCCGGACTTTCTCGGCGGCTCAGCCCCACGTTTTGACACAGTTAAGTGAACAGACTTCCTTGCCTTTGCGGTTTTGGGGCAAGGGTGGGGACTTGGGCAAAACGTCAACTGGAATCTCCGGATTTTGTGGCCCGCTCACCTGGATAGGCTGAGCTTGCCATGAAGGTGCGTTGCTTGGGAATACATTTATTTGCGGGTTTTGAGCAATGACGTTCGCAGCAGAAATCACGGCCTCGAGCGTTTGGGCGTGGGTTTGCGACTGTAAGGTTCGTTCATGAGGGAGTGCAACCCCAAACGGCAGCCTGTGTTCCTTTTAGTTTGGTGGGTTCTCCAAGAGATGTCACTTGCGACCCAGTAAGCCACCTTACATCCTCAACATGCACCCTCTAGATGTGATGTCAAGGAAAGCCACCGGAAAAAACCAGCAGCAGTTTTGAGAACCCCTCTAAGTCTGGCCCAGTTTTCCGTGGCAGAGGTAATGGTCTAAGCATAGGTGTCCTTTTTGGTTGTTTTGGTAGAAAGATAGATGGCCCTGGTTTACCTGGTGGTTTAATTCATCATCTACCAGGGCCATCTAGTTGCCCTAAAAGGACACCTTTGGGTTTAAGGTGAACCTGTTGCAGGGAAATGAGGCTTCGTGGTCGCCTAAACAATCGGTTTCCTTTTGGCTCTCCTTTGAATAGCAACCGAAAAAGCCTTGATTCATCATTTGGAGAACCCCCCCCCCCCCCATGTGGGTTGTCTCAAAATCAGGCTCTTCAAAAACAAGAAACAACCTATTTTTGTATATATGTGTTTTCCCTCTTGGCTTCTCATTAAAACCAAGCAAGAGGAGGTCCCCCGCAAAACACAAGAGCAAAACACAGCCGCCATTATTCCAGTGGTTGATTCCTTAGTATTTTCCACCATCGTTCTTTTCAATCACCAGCTGTTTCCCTGGGTTTTGATGCTTTCCGGAAAAGATTCGGATCCCGGGAAAGAATGGAAATAGAAGCTACCCCTGAAATTATATATATATACACATATATGTCTGTATATATATATATATATATCTCAAGCCAGCCGTTGTTTTGGGGCCCAACACCAGGCCAAGACCAAACGAGGCTCACGTCGCCGGAAGCCGCCGCGCGCCGCGAGCCGCAGGCCACTTTGGGAACGAGTGGGTCATGGGCCGAAGGCCCACGGAGTTCAACGCGCGGGAGGTGGAGCTGCCAAAGGCCGGGGGTTCGGGGGGGGGGGGGGGGATTTTGGGGGCGGGGGGCCTTCGGTGTCCCAGGAGGTGTCCCTGGAAACCACCAGGAAGCCAAGGGGCGCCTTTTTTTTAAGAATGGCAGTGGTTTGGTTGGTTTGACAGGATTTTCTTTTCTTCAGGTGGTAGGAAGCCAAGAGAAACCTTCTCCAGAATGGCAGTTTTTTGGTTGGTTTGACTGGATAATTGTTTTTTTTTTTTTTTTTCAGGTGGTGTCCCTCTAAAGCGGTCAAAATGGGTGGCTTTTTGCTTTTTCAAGCTACGTCGGGTAAGTAAGTGTTATGACCATGGTAAGGGGACGATCAGCCCAGATACCAACCACTTGTAGCCATGGTTATGACTTACCTGACGTTGGTTGAACATCCAAGCAGGGGACCCCCCAAAAAGGCGCAGCGGTTTTCCTGTTCCCTGTAAACGACGAGAACATAAAGGGGCACCTTTGAAAGGAGACACCCCCTTTTTATGGAAAATGGGTTTCCATTTATTAATTTGATCGGGAGTATCCTTAGGACCCACCCACCCACCCACCCACCCACCCACCCACCCACCCACCCACCCACCCACCCACCCACCCACTCACCCACCCACCCACCCACCCACCCAGAAACCAGAAAAAACATGAGGCACAGGGGCTGAACGGGGCTCCTTTTTGCTGCATTTTCAGTGGTGTCCCTTGGAGTGAACAATGGCGCATACCCAGACACAGGCGCGCCTCAGCATCTCAGCCCCACTTCCTGTGGTGCCAGAGGACCCCCGCTGAAGAAACAGCGAACACCGACATAAGACTGGTCCACGGTGCTTTGTTTGCCCCCACCTTTTTTGTCATTGTTGGCTTTGTTGTGTTTGCCTGTCGGCTTCATGGCTGATGTTGTTTATTTGCTCCATTTTTTCGTGGTGGAATTTGTTTCCCGCTTGTTTCGTGGTATATGTTGGCTTGTATCGTCACTTTGGTGATTTATATATATATATATATATATGTGTGTTAGTGTTTAATGATTATGTTTTGTGAATATGTCACGGGTCCTCCTGGGCGTCAATTATTTGTATTGGTGTGTGGTATGTCCTTCTCATGGCAGGTGTTGTCTTTTCCAGCTTATTTTATTGCTTCTTTGGTGGTTGATCCTGGATATTACGTGTTTGTTGTTTTGTTGGCACCTTCATGAGTGTTTGTCCTTACTCATCTTTTCCGTAGTTTGTTTTGGTACTTCTGGAGGAAGTGAGTATTCCGTAGATGAATTACAACCTGCACGGCCTAGCCTTTGGAAGCCTCCCAGGAGCCTGGGATGTTTCTCAAGTGAAGTTTGCTGCACGCTGAACTTTAGGTATACGCGTGTGTATGAGTGCAATTTGTCTCTATAGATAGGTTGTGACCTCACAAATGAGCGGTGCTCCTTTGCAAGCCACTCACATAAAGGGGCAGTTACCGCCTTAAACAAGAGACACCGATGCCTTGCAGTGAGATCTTGCCAGGAGCCCTACAACCCGAAGCCCTACCGCCTGCTCTTCCGACGGTATCCAAGTCTCGCCACTGGGATGCAAGCTGCTTCAGTGGGCAAGGCTCGGTGCTTGGCTGTTTTGGGACGAGTTGTTAAACGGTGAATCCTGGTAGGCGACTTACAGCAGTGGCAAATGGGCTACAACTAGGGCAAAGGTAACCACTTAGCAATTCGTGCCAGGCCATCTAAGTATCTCCTGTTCCTTTGGGACGTTTGGGACACGTTTTTGACCTTGGCTAGACTTGGATGCTACCCTCTTTTTTTTCCGAGGGGTGGGTTCCCTTTGAAGCCAGCCCACACAAAGGGCGTCCTGTACAAAGCCGCTGGGCAAGTAGGGAAAACGGAAATCGGACCTATGGCGGGTAGGTCTCAGTGAGAGACCCTCCCCAGAATAAAAACATGTCCTTTCCGCCTTTGCCCATACACGTGGTTTGGGTAGACTCCTTTGCCGTGTTTCATCACTCGGCTGGTGTCAAAACGAGCCTGGAGAAACCAACAAACACTCGCAACAAAAACAAGAAACAAAACGGACAGCTGCCAGCCCTGATTCCATGTTTCGACACAGGAAGACCGAACGAGCAAGGTTGAGCCAGCTGCGGGAGGAGTGTACTTGTTTTGCTGACCAGCTCTCTCTCTCTCTCGCTCTCTCTCTCTTTCTCTCTCTCGCTGATTTATATATCCACTCACCAATCCCAGTCATTGCAGTCGCAAACATTCAATCTGCCAAACCTTGCGACATTTAGGTTCGCCAACAAACTACAAGGGGATGGAACATGTTTCCTGAATTCCTTAATGTTGACCCCATACGAATCAACCAACCAGTCTATTAGGGGGGTGTCCCTGGGTTACTGGGGGATCAGACCACTTTTGGCGGGAATCACCCCCTATTAGTACACAGTTTGGTTGAGTTAATCTGGGGTCAAGAAACACTCCATATCAATCAACCCCAGTATCTTAATAGGAGGGTGTCCCTGGGTTTGGTGGGGAATCAGACCACTTTTTGGAAGGAAACACCCCCTAGTCTATTAATAAACTCAGGTTGACTAATCTGGTGTCAACGTCAACGCACCCAGCGCTTGCAATGAAGCTTTGCCTGTCGCGCAGACTGGAGCTCCTTAGCCCGCGTTGCTCGTTCAGGTGCACTTGGGGCTCGAGCCAAAAGCATCCAGAGCTGAGCGGGGGTTTCGTTGGTCTGCGAACCGGATATATCCGAAGGGGGAGAGAGCAGCCACAGACAAACAGGGTTTTGTTAGATTTCCCCTTTGTGTGGGGTTTCAAGCATGGCCTTTTGGGCGGCTACCCAAATCCCAGAGCAATACAGGGGCGGCTGCAACTATTTATTATTGGTACCCTTCACATACCCGGCTTTAGACATCTACTCATGTGCTGCTTCAGGTTCGAAACAATTTGTTCTTCAACATCCCTCCAAGAGGAAAGGAACATCTGCAAAAGCAGGAAGTCTTGGTTTAACAATCCCTGCAACAGCTAAAGGACAAGCGGCGAGTTAATTGCTTTACTGGTGAAACGGATCCACTGGCTAGACCATGTTCATACTGTGGATGCGCGAAATCCTGCCCCACCACCTGAGAAACCTTGGAATAATTCGATTTCCTTGCAAATACCAACAAACACAATCGTTTCCCATGGTTTCAAAGTGGTGCGAAATGGATTTCCATTCTTCTCAACCATTGTTCTTTCCAAAAACCGGATCCGTTTTTCCTGGGTTTCCAGAGGTTCTCTAGAAAGATTCGGATCCCTGGAAAGAATGGAAATGGAAGGTACCCCTAGATTCTTGAATTGTTCAGCAAAGTTTGTAAGTAGGTACTCACTTCCTGAGTTTGTAAGAATGAATTTGGAATTATTTCAAAGAATAGGAAAAGTTCCAATAGGAATTCTTAGAATTCGTGCAATGAATTCTAGGAATTGTCCATGAAGCAGGTTTTGATTGCAAGTCACCTGCGTGAGGCCAGCGGCCTTGGCGCTGAGTACTTCTACCGGGAGGATCAGCGCAGCCCTTTGGCTGCAGCTCTCGCTTCCCGGAGTCTGCTTCTGACTTCTGACCCGAAAAACATGGGGGAAAAAACGCCTTTCAGGTAGGTGGCTTCCGAATAACAAGCCTTCCGATAGGTTTCTCCAAAAGGAAAAATAGAAAGGTATTCCTGGAGTCGCCTTCTGACCCGAATAAGAAATGGTTGGTCAGAAAACCCAAAAGAATGGTTGGACTCCAGGTGTATACTTGGAAGAGCCTTCAATTTGTGAGATTCCAGGAACTCGAACGAACGAATCCGGGTCTCTGAGCACTGAGTGCGCGACCTTTTGTGAGTAGGAACTCCCCAAGCAAGGCATTGTATGGACATCGGCTCACCAAAGTAAGCTCGTTTACGTGAAATCGGCTTCTTGTTTTTTCCTTTGCATGTCCTTTGTCACATGCACAAGCCGAAACTCTTTGAACGATTGCTAGGTCGCTATATTTGCCCAGAAATATTGGGAACCCGGAACTCGCCAACAGTTTGCCCCAAAACCGCCATTTTGGGGTCCCCGAAGAAAAGACACACCCATATGGAGACACTATGGGTCTCTTTTCCGGGAACCTCGAAAACCACATATTTGGGGGCTGGGGAAACCAAAAGGAAACCTATTTGTTCTTGTTGTTCGTTGGTTTGTTGGTTTGTTGGTTTGTTGGTTTGTTGGTTTGTTGGTTTGTTGGTTTGTTGGTTTGTTGGTTTGTTGGTTTGTTGGTTTGTTGGTTTGTTGGTTTGTTGGTTTGTTGGTTGGTTGGTTGGTTGGTTGGTTGGTTGGTTGGTTGGTTGGTTGGTTGGTTGGTTGGTTGGTTGGTTGGTTGGTTGGTTGGTTGGTTGGTTGGTTGGTTGGTTGGTTGGCTGTTTTAGTTTGTGTGTTTGTGGGGGGGGGGGGGGCGGGCGCATGCATCAAAGAAAAACATACCCAAATGTTTTGGATGCACCTCGGATTTGGTACTTGGGTGTTCGGCCAAGTTAGCAAGTTCTTGTCAATCTCTGTTATATGTCCTCCTTTAGAAGTGGGGTTAACCTTGTCAGCGGGCGAAACACCCCTAAGTGGCGATCACCACAGACACTGACTAACCCCAAGCGGCAAAAGCCCAAGTGGCAATCAGCACAGACACTAACTTGGCAAGGACCACCCGAGTACCTCCCCAAACCGAGGCTACCCCAGTTGAATGGGAGATAAAGCCTAATTTAATATGGCCACTAAACGGTATATACCCATTTGCCCTGGTAGTGGAGCAACCAAGTACCTCCCTACTGTGGATGAAATCCTGCACCACTTGGGATAGATGAAACCCTATAAAGCCACCTACCAACTGGTGCAGGATCTGGTCCACAGTATTTTCGGCAGGTCCCTTGACCTACTACCACCAGCGCAGCCCCTCTTCTGGTGACTGCATCATGGTGGGCGCCACGAGTGAGCGCGCGAGGGAGGCCCGGACCATCGACAACTACGTCAAGGCACCCCGGCCCCGGCATGGGTCGGGCCGGGTGGGTTCTTCGGGCCGGTGAATTCGGCCGGTGGCTCACTTCCATTTGCTTAAGAAGTCACCACTGGACAGGGTTGTGGGATCACTCGGGGTTTCTCCAACCACTGCGATACAAGGATCCGAATCCCCCTTTATATGAACAAACTAGTCGTTGGGGTTAGGCCCTGTCCGTATCACAGAAGTGGATTCCATTCCCCGCAGCCCTGCTACTGGATGTGTGTGCTCTCTCATTTTTTGTCCAGGGGGCTATAGAAATGGAAGGGGCCCATGGTTTAAACATCTTCAGCGGATCCCGGATCCAGACCATCGGCTTTTGAGTGAGCGGTTCGTAGATTTAGTTGTTTGACATTTTTTTTTCCTGCAAGAAGTCCTTGCAAGTGGGTCATAACAACGAGTGGTTAGTGCCACTGATAGACCTGGTTTCACTTGGTTTCACTTGTGGACTAACCTGATTCACTTGGTTTCCAACGACTTGTGAAGTGGCCTGCCTGCTTAGGGTGGCCTTACACGTCGCCTTCTAGGCCACTAGATGAGTCGCCATCAAATCCAATTCGGATGAAAGTAGGGGGGCAATCGCCATATACAGCGGCCACCGTGGTAACTCTTTGGAGGTTGGTCACCTTTGTACCAGGTGTGAACTGCTCAGATGTTTCAAGGGCCCGTTTAGGGGTTTCAATCGCTTGCACAGGTTACTCATGCTGCATCCGGCGAC